AAGAAAAGAATTCTTATCGAAACACACGAAAAGAAAATGATTATCTTATAAAATATACTACTTTTCTAACATTAAATAAACTCATACACAAAACAGTATTCAATTTTTTTCTATTTGGTTTGCTTTAAGACGATGAACATATAAACAATATTTATAGTAACACGAAACGTGAATAGTGCTGATATTCTTACATCAGAATGAAAGTTTCTTCGAACACGAGGTTTGATTCTGTCTTTTTGGTTCAAGCTGATACAAATCCTTTAACACTGAAATAGTTTTCAAATTACATTAGTTGACAAATACACTGGAGACTTTGAAGAATATATATTTCCGTTTTCTCAACATTTTAAAAAGAGTACTCGTATTCGGCATTCTGTAAAAGGAACATTTTGGCGCTTTGGCTGGCATGTAGAAGCTTTTTTCTTTCTTATTTTGTTTGCAAGTACTACGTAATCTACCTTATCCTACGAATGGCATCTTCCAAATATGTTTAATTAGAACAGAGTATTGACATCGACCATTTGAAGAACAATCGTAATAAAGGGATTTAATTAATAACAATAAGCAAGAAGAAAATATATAGTTTGTTTTGATTGTATTTCACTTTTTTAACACAAAATTACAACACTTATAATGTACGTTGTATTGTTTTCTTTTTACATAAGCTGTCGGGAGTAATTAAGTAGTATGGTGCTTCTTTTTAAGGTAAAAACGCCATGTTCATTTTTGAGTAATAAAATATTAATAAATACCGAACGACTGAGTAATAAATCTCAAAAATATACTTGTCAATGTAGACGACGACGCAAGAGCGGACGCGAAGGAGAAGGGAAACCAAAAACGAGGGCGATGGTACATGCGAGAACGGTAATGAGGACGAAGGAGAGGGCGAGGGGGAAAAGGCATAAGCACAAGCACAGCCTCAATGCAAGAATGAATGCAATAACAAGAGCGAAAGCGACTGCGTGAGCAGCAATGTTGACAAAAGCAAGGACGACGGCAAGAACCAGGGCGAAGGTGAACGCTAGAGAGACAAACGCTGAAATATGAAGCCACTGGCAACACAGAGCGAGAGCCAAGTAAAAGCGAGATCGAGAGAGAGTACGAACTCAAAGGCGAGGGCGACGGAGAGCGAATGCGAGTGCGTGGACAAGGGCGAGGGCGTGGGCGAGGGCGAGGGCGTGGGCGAGGGCGTGGGCGTGGGCGTGGGCGTGGGCGAGGGCGTGGGCGAGGGCGAGGGCGAGGGCGAGGGCGAGGGCGAGGGCGAGGGCGAGGGCATTGGCACGGATATGAGCGAGGGTGAAGTGAAAGCGAGATCGAGAGCGAAGGTGAACGACAGTACGAATTCGAAGCCAAGGGCGAGGACGAAGACAGCGTGCACAATGGCGAGGGCGAGGGCGAGGGCGAGGGCGAGGCTGGTAGCGCGCGCCCCCAGCGCGGCCGTCGGCGCAAGTTGGCAGCGCGCCGCGCGTGCGGGTAATGGAAGGCGCGGGGCACGAAGCCCGGACGCGCCTGCACCGTGCCCCGCCCCCCGCCTGCCCCGGGGGTTCCGCCCCTGGCCACGCGCAGGCGGCGGAATGCGCTGCGGGGCAATCGATGCGGTGGCGGCGCGGCAGGCGCTGCCATCTCACGGACCAAGTGCAGCGCTGGCGCTTTCGATTAACGGAAGAGTCATGTTGGCAACGAAATTAGGAACATTCTTTTCCTTCAGCTTAGGAAGTAGCTTCTACACACATTAAGCTGTGCTTAAGTGTCGTAAAATACCAGTGACCCAAAACAGCAAAAATGCCGAAGGGAAAAACGACACTAAATTATTTTTTCTAAAGTAGCTTGCACACTGCTTAACAATAAAAAACAAAATACTCTCTTTAATGCGGCTCTAAATTAAATATTTCACAAAAACCGTCTTCACGAATGTTGCACATAACGTTTACATATAATTACAGTATTCGTGAAAAATACAGTATTCATTGTTTTCATATATTTTCCCGAGTTTCTGAATATTTAAGGAAACCACAGACCCCTCTGACATGGTCACAATTACCACAGTGAATAGTATTCTGTCAATTTCTACGCTCAATGGAAATTCGTAATATGGATGCACGGAACAAAAGTAGGTGGTGACCTAAGTGCTACTCGTATATACCACGGACAGCCGCCGTGCTTGATCGCACACTGAAATCAGCAACTAGACGAACTCCTTCGTAAGGCGCAATGCCACGAAATGTGCGAAACATGCAACTGTTTCCATTTAATTGGTTTGTTTTAATCAAGACTTCCTTAGAACATCAGAACGAGTTCTGAGTTGAAAATAATGACTGATTAATGATAAGTTGAATAGAGCATAACCAAAACCATGAAAGTCAGAAAAGATGTAACAAAGATATCAGATGAACACTTGTCTATGTCATGAGGCGAACGGGCGCATACCACGATGAGAATTCGCATCCAGGCACTTGTGAACGCACGCACGTGTGCCACGCACGTGTGATATCTTAAGGGGATCTCTTATTACGAGCCAACTTAGGTCAGGAACGTAGTTTTTAAGATGAATGTCCACGTGATGAAGTTTTGCGAGCTAAATAAAAGTTGAGAAGGAGCGACAAACAATAATAGAAAATGGAAATAAATTAATTTTGGTTCGTCCCATCTCATTAATTAACGCCCAGTATATTTCACGTTTTTTGAAAAAAATTGCATTTTAGTGGGATTGTAGGTTTGAACACAGCCCGAGTAATATGAATGATTCACCTCATTGGTGTGATACGCACCCAAATTTTCCAAATCACGTCCCTAATCATCCCTGATGATTTCGTAATTTTGCAAAAAAATAATTATATGTATTCTGAAGGAGACGTAAAAAATACGACGAAGATTGAGGAAAAGAACAAGAAAGAGGCGCAAAAAGATGATAAGATGTGTAAATGACGAGGAGAAAGAGAAAGCAGAAGAGATAGAGAAACACATGATGTATAGAAAGAGAAACAGAAGTATGAGTAGGGGAAAGGGTAGAAGTAGAGAAGAAGGAATGGGAAAGGGAGAGATAAAGAAGCGGAAGAAGGGAAAAGGGCAAAAATAATTTTCTCGCATTACCTCCACTCTACCAACTCCCCACTAACACACCAACCCAAACCGAAAACCAACCTTTCCTCCCTGTACCATTTCGCCGAAACTTGCGTCAAGGCGCGTGGCTTCTTTTCCCGCGAGCGGGCGCGCGGGGGGCCGAGGGTCGCAGCGGTGGCGGCGGCGGGGTCGCCGGCGGCAGAGAGCGCCCGCCCGGCCCCGGAGAGGGTGATCGATATCCCGGAAAGTTATGAAGCCTGTTTGCCGCGCGCCGCGCACCCCAACGCGCCCAGTGAACCCTGAGGAGCACCAACGCGCAGCCAGCAGCCGCCTGCAGCCGCCGCCGCCCACGTGGCCCGGGGCGCTGGGAGAGCAGCCACGGGGAAAACCCGAGCAGCCGACCGTGAGAAACCACTCCTCCGGCTTCCGGCACGGCCCCCGCTGCGGCGCCGAATTTGAATTTTTCCGTTACGCTCCGCTGACTTCACAACGACGATAGGAGTTAATAAAGAGTTGTTTTTTTCTGTTCTATTATCCTCCTCCTCCTATAAAATCTCCTTAAGCAGATAAATTTGTTTAACAAATTTGATTTGGATTCTTTTCTGAAAGGGAGATGGGGTGGCTAAGAATTCATGACGTGCGAGTCCGCCACAGAGAAATAACCCTCGCTGGATATTTTTGACAATTAACTGCATCTAGATTGTTGATATTTTCGCCCTGATATAAACATCTTCTTTTAACAGAACATTACCCTTACTGATACACTAGTTAACGAGAGATTTAGACTATTAGAACGATCTGGTAATAATAAGATACTGTTTCATCTGTAAAAGTTATTACTAAATACAAATTACTTCTGATCTATTTAGCTGGTAATTTTCCATAATTTTGCCACTGCAATAAGAAGCTTCTTAAATAGTTTATAGGCTCAAAACTGAATAATAAATTATTTTAAGGCCAGAAAGTAAAAGCATGGCTTGTGTGAGAGCAGGTTTTACGAATCACCACGTTTTTAAGCCGAATGTGTAATCCAAGATGTGTGGTGAACAATGACAAGAAACAGAACTCGGCTTCATATTAACAACTGTACCACAAAGTAATCAATTCTTACATATTTTAAATTTAATAGCTCGACTCTTGGCAAATTTGCAAATTAATTATAAACTGAAAGGCGTACAACAAACGAGCATATCTTGGGATCGTTCTAGCTATTTCAACTTCAGATTCTTCCAAATATTAATCCCACATTCATAATTCATTATAATTAAGAGAAAGACACATTTTTATTTCTTTAATTCTAACTTTAAGTATTATTTTAATTTCGAAATTATTATTACTATCAGTAACACGTTCTTAACTGGGGTCCACGGTCTTTGACGGGATTGCGAAACGATTTTTGAGAAAAGAATTATGTATTTTGCTGGTTCAAATTTTTTGAGGGTGCACCCCATACACTGAAAATTTATTTAAAAAGAAAATTGTTGAGATAGGTTGTTGAGATAGGTTTCGTCAAAATTACAGTTCTTGGGAGGCCAGTCGGGAGCTTGTCCCGGCGGGGGTCACCGCTAGTGGGTGATACCTGGTTAGGGAAAACCCCTCAAGCCATCGTAGGTCGGGGCCATATTTCGCCAACATGCGTGGGAAGGTCACCGACTTTTCCTGCAAAAAACATGAACTACCCTTACGGGAATAATGACCTCAGTAGTTGACATCTCCAGAATCACCAAACTATCGTTGCGAAAAACCCGCAACACTATTAAAAACAAAACAAACAAAAAATGGTTTAGATGGTTAGATCAAGGAGGCGCAACGGACCAACCAGTCTAATGCTTGAGGGAGAAGAAGAAAAAGAAGAAGAAGAAGAAGAAGAAGAAGAAGAAGAAGAAGAAGAAGAAGAAACAAACAAAAAATTCAGATAAAAGTAGTGGAGTGGGTACTCACTCGTTGAGGCCCAGCTGCAGCGTCTGCCCAGCAGTCTTGAGCAGGCCGTGCGCCTCGCTGTTGGTGATGTTGCGCGTCGCCTGCCCGTTGATGGACGAGATGATGTCGCCCTCGCGAACGCCCCGCTGCGCCGCCTTGCTGCCCGGGTTCACCTGCGCACGCGCGAAACGCCACACGTCAGCTCATGCTGCTTGCCAAAGGCATTGCAGTCTTTCACAGAGTGAACACGGTGCAAAGAACACACGTTCACTAAGTGCATAAAAACAAAATTTAGTCAACATTATCCACAGTTCATTCTCCTACATTATGACAGTTTTGTTACCTCACCAAAGCGCAAGCCACGCCCACCTACCTATATATATATATATATATTACACAATCATTTCTACAGAATATATCCCTTTCCGGCTCCCACATCCAACTAATTTTAGTTAATTAAGAGCATATAAAATTGAATATTATGTACAAGCCACGAAGGGCGTTATTACTTTATAATATTAAGTATGTGATGATAAAATGTCCAAATCATGCATGCACAAATGCAACACGCAATACAAGGCCGGCATATCATTCTGTTTTCGGTCACGACCGGGCAAAACTCGTAAACTATATAGGAGCTCGTAAACTCAAGGACATTCAGATCTGTTTTCGAAAATGTCTCGATTTATATTCCACATTGTTCATCTTGATTCGGCGAATGTCGAATTCTTATTGAAATTAAACTATTTGTAACTCTGTGCGATTTATTTGCACAGAAATGTTTCTTACCCTACTAACTGATGTGGGAAAAGAGAAGGGGTGCGCGTTCCCATAAACTTTCTTGAATGGATGCGATAACACATCCCTATTTCAAAACGGGAGAGGTGAATGAGGGCATCAACTGATGTTATTGCAGTACCTCAGATCAGGAGGTCCTATGTTCGCGTACCGACAGTAACAGGTCTTTCGACACAAGCTATATAGCTGGGTCGAGTTCTGTCGCTATCTGGAGGAGAATTCTAGCGGCCGGCTACTCTGATTTCTTCAATCGATTCCAGGAGAATGCCGGAGCAGTACCCTAATAAATGAGCCACGGACAGCGCCCGATCTATCCTTCCTCTTCCTTGTCTTATCCACACCCCTTACATACACACACTTACTCTTACATGCACTACACTTCCACATATGTCAGGAGACTAGTCTGGAACTTTGAGCTTGTCCCGGGTGGGATGATGCCCAGCTGGCGGGAGATACCTGGTGGAGGAAACATCGGTACCCGACGATAGGTCGGCGCCGGATCTGATCGTCCAGCTAGGGATGATCATCTCGTAATTCCAAAATATTTTCTACACTTACAGGACTAACGATCTTAGCAATTGGCGCGCCCTGAATCACTAATATATCAATCCGAATTTAACTCAACATTCCTGAATAGTGCTGATTATAAATAGCGGGCGCATACCGTATCTCGTTGCGTCTACGTCTCGTTGCGAGTACTGGGCCCATTGGGAGTCCACAATTGAAACTCGTAGCCAGAGAATTCATGGATTCGTGATGATAATGGCAGATTTTCGAATCTGACGATACCAGTGTCAAAAGTCTAGACGCTGACGTTGATATGTTTCCAGTATGGGGGCTATTGTCTTAAGCGAGCCACGGAGTGGGTGCGATTCTGTCTTTCGCTCCCCCGTCTGAAAAATCGTCGGAGGGACTGATCTTTATATTAGTCAATCTAAGAGCGCATTAGGATTGCTAAGATTCTAAAGTTGATAAGTGAGAACCAAAGGGTAATCGCAGATTGCCCCTGGGCCCAAGACATGGGACTTCTGTTATCCATGACAATGCTATTTTTGCGAAAGGAAATTGAAAATCTTCTTTCTGAAATAATCGAAGAAAGATTGTACCAGTAATTAGAAGAGTCAGAAGCTTATGAAACTGCTTTACAATAGAAGGTCCACATTAACTCTTTTGTTGTCTTTTGTTGCAGCATGATAATGCACGCATAAGAAAATGCGAGACACTTAACTCTATTCGCACTTACTACTGGAACTGTGTATCGCGCAGTCAATTCCAAGTTGTCCTGGCGTCATTTCTTAGGCAGAGGAAAGTTTTCTCCTTCCTAGAACTAAGCAAGCAGTCTCAGAACGCATGCATGAAAAGTTTTCTTTTTCTATGGAGCGCATCATTTTTTCTTGGCTGTTCCAAATACGGTTATGATTTGGAAAGCACAGAATTGTCATATCGAGACCCGATTGTCATATCGAGACCCAGTTGAATTTCAGATGTCCGAGGTAATTTTAAATAACTCTGGATGAGACTCACAGATTGCCTTTGGTAGTAATTTTTCTTAAGTAAAGATCATGATTTGATCAAAGGCTGCTGCATCAGATGATCACATGATCGCTTGATCACATAATCAACATTGCGAATCAACCAAGTACAAGCTCCTGAAATACTCCAGTTCTGATACCTGGTTGAGACTGAGCTACGATGTTAGTTGTTGAGCGAGGGCAAAATGTACTTCCATCTTAAGTATTCAATTCTGATTGTCCATACACAAACTACTCCAATTTATTATTCTTCGGCTGCGACACGTATGGTTTCACTACTCCCTATACCCCCCCCCATTTATATTTGCCAGTGATCTCAGTAAAATTCGTTTCATTTATTAATTTGCCAACCCGCACTGAATTGTTCATTCATATACTCACGCGCTTAATCCTCACAATGGGTTTAATTAAACAGCTCTAATTACAGAACACACTAATGACAACTATTAATATGTTTCCTCTAATTATAATCGGTGGAATGGCTGCATCTCATTTGTAAATTAAGGTGCTGCCGCTGGCTTGCCCACGAGTTACATGGTTCTCGTTTCAAGTCAGGAGCGCAGTACGAGGATTCGTTCTAGCCCATTCGTCATGGCTTATCTCTTCTACTATCGCCGCAAACTTGCTGGCGGCTGCAAGAAAAGTGTTCGTTTCAACTCTCAAAAGTCTGTGGAATCGTTCCAAAATATTTTTGCTCTCAATGGCGTGTTGTGGGTTCTTGATGATGACAGCATTGGCGGTAAATTAAATGTCTCAAATTCTGAGGAATGGGAGAAGATGCCTAACAAACTAATCCCCAACACCGAAAAAATTATATCTAACATTCATAACATGCTTATTTATTCTCCTTTAAATGTGAGGCTTGAGGTGGCGCAATGCTGAATTAAAAAAAAAAAATAAACACATATTATGGTACTTTACAAAAAGGGCCTGCGCATCAAATAGCACAAACTAGTTGACAATGTCACAGTGTATCATTTACGACAGTTTTGTTCTTCTTCATTAATAATAATAATAATCATAATAATAATAATAATAATAATAATAATAATAATAATAATAATATTAAAACCGATCAGACCAATGGGCGAGGTCGCTAAGGCACTAGCGATCTCAGACCAGAAGATCGCGATTGACTCCTGCCTTGGGCATGGATGTATTTTGGTTCGTATGTGTGTGGCGTCGTCTCAGCCTTCACTAACTTCATTTCATCTTCCATACCGCAGGTGTAACAACCCTGGGAGATCCAACTATATGCCTTTCCCCTTGATACTACTTGCATGCACCTGCCAGATAATGTTTCTGAGCCCCGGTAAAATGCAGATAGCATGAACGCCTGGTCAAGTCGGCTTAAAATAGGAAAAGAAGAAGAAGACGAAAAGAAGAAGACGAAAAGAAGAAGACGAAGAAGAAGAAGACGAAGAAGACGAAGAAGAAGACGAAGAAGAAAATGAAGAAGGAGAAGAAAATCAACAACTTATTCAGGATTAATTTAACAATCACAGCCTCTCACAAAGTATTATAGCAGAAAAGTGGGGAGTGTGGCTTGACACTTCACACCCGTGATAGGCAGCGCGCGTGTTTTCTCGATGCTGCAGAAGGCGACTTGTTCGAAGAGGCCCCGAGGCACTTTAAGGGCGCGACGGGTGCGAATAGCGGCTTCGCACGAAAAAGAGCACGCGGTCGTTCGCTCTCACTCATTCATTCGCCCGCACGTTAGCCCCAACAACACCCACTCGGCTCTCCCGCCTCCCCTGCTCGCCTCGCCATCCCTACTCCACCCACCGCCCCTGCTCCAACGTCAATGCTTCTCAGTCCTAGATCCTGCCTCACCGCCGTCGATCTTGTTTACGCGTTCTCGCAGCTGCTCTCCATCCCGTCATCGTCCCTAATATCCTATCTCCGTCTCTGCTCTCACTCGACAGCCCCTCCTCTCCCCCGGACAACGTCCCTGCTCATCCGCCGTCGTCCTGGCTCACCGCGCCGCCATCCCAGCACCTCGTCGTCCCCTCTTCTGCTTCCTAACCACCATCTCCCTCTCCCGGCTTCGTCTGCTCCCCCGAAGGTCGACCCTGCTAACCCCCGCTGCTCTTGCTCGCCAGCCCTTGTCCCTGTATACTCCCGCCGCCCCTCATACCCCACCACCATCTCTGCCCACGTGTCGGCAACCCTGTTCCTCCCTACACCCGTCTTCCCCGCCGCCCTTGCTCACCTGACCCCTTCCCTGCTCACTCCGCCGTTACTCCTCCCCCGCCGTCATCCCTGCTCCTCTTACACCCGTCTCTCTCACCTTCGTTCCTGCTCTCCCCCGCCGCCCTTGCTCACCTGACACCGACCCTGCTCACTCGTCCCTCTTCCTCCGCCATCCGTTGTACCTCCGCATCGTTTCAGCCAACCCCTGACGTCCGTTCTGCACAGCCACCGTCCCTGTTCACCCACCGTCGTCCCAGATCACCCCCGAATTGTGGGGTAAAAAAAAGGAAGTATGGCTAAATTAACAATGGTTATTTTAATCAGTTAATATCGAACTGAAGTATCTCGCATTGCTCCTGTATTCATTTTTTATTTTAATAATGGGCAAGCAACTACCAATAGGGTTACTATAGTTAGGCTGCGTACAATCCAAAACAAATTTTATTTATTATTTTTTTGAAAATATGCATGGTTTGCTATAATATTTTAACTATTGTCTCTAGAATCCCTTCGTGCCAAATTTGAGACCAATCTCTCCAGTGGTACTATTTTTTCGTGACACATACCACTACAAACTACTTAACTTTTATAACATGTATATAAGCAGACAATTAGCACAATTAATTAGAAATCACGCGTTCATTCCAATG